AATCTACTACCAGGTTAATCCATAATTGAGTGATCATCAATTCCACAGCACCTTCATCCGATTTTTAAAAGATCAAAGTTTCTATGAATATGCAGACAAATCTCAAATTGTAGGCCGAAATTTAGACAATAAGTCTATTGAAATATCAGGATAACTCTTTTGCTATAAATTGTCAACTAATTTACCAATATATAAATGTCAATAAAACAATAATTAAAAAAAATTACCAATAAATGTTGGATTGTAAAAATTTACAAGCGATCGAACGGCTTATATTTTTGCCTTAGATGGCAAAAAATTCATCCAATTATTAAAATATCACATTTTTTTGCAGTTCTTATGCTTTTGTATTTATAGAATTGCTTTTTTCGATACAATCAATTTCCATTATACGAATGTCTTAAATTATTTATTTTATTCGACTAATGCCCGCTATGTCCGAAACAAGTCCAACTTATATCCGAAATAATCGGGCATCAGACACTTTTCGGTCTTAAAGTAACATATGTGAAATTTGAAATACACTACTGTATTGTAATTAATATTTCAGTTCATACACCTCAATTTGTAACTAATTTAAAAACGACTTTGATGAAACCAGTGGTGTTGTGCTAATATTTTTTGTCGGAACGCTGAAATTTAAAAACTGGTTCACAAACCGGTTCAAAAACCGGTTCTCATGTTTTTTCCGGTTCCGTTCGAAAAGGAAAGAAACAAAAATTATTACAAAACCCATTGTGTGCACATATATGTATGTTTATTACAATAATAAGAGCATTTAATAAAAATTAGTTCAATAATAATTCATAAAATTTACTTATTAAATTATTTTCTGTATGTAGCGATTTTTTTATATTTTTTCTTGCCGGAACGCGTTCCTTTCCAAAAATGATTTGCCGGAACGACGACGTTCCGGCGCGTTCCGGCTCGACAACACCACTGGATAGGTCTATAAACAAGACTCTCTGAACATTTCAAGTGAATCGGTCGTGTAAAACTCGAGAAATCGTGTCAACAGTACTGAAAAAGTCTGTTCTGAGAAAAACGCATTTAAAGTTTTGCGTGAAGCCAAAACCAGTATGACGACCGAGTCAGTAAAATGCATATATCTCCGAAAATAATTCAAATTTTCAAAAACCTTCTCGTACTCATATTCTTAGATAGTTAAACTTTAAAAATATGAAATAAAAAAATTCGATTTTTTTGAATTTCTACACTAGAATACCCCCTTAACTATTCCTTGTTTTTAATAGTTTTATATTTTATATGAATACATCTTCAAAATATAATAATAATTATTCAATAAACAGTATTGTTTATAAACTATAATTTACCAGAAAATGAACAATTTGTAATTAAACGTTATTTTAGTTGTTGTAAATTTTATTCATATTTGTACACTTATATTTTAAAATTTACTATTCATAAAATGTTTTATAATATTGTATTTAATTAATAAGCTATATTGCCATTGCCTTTTGATATTATAATAAATTCTAAAATGAATTTTTATCATGAAACATCAGTATGGCAAAGTATAAAAAAGTCGCGAATTGAAGTCGATTTATAACGAACGCGTAAAATTTGAAAATAAATCAAGATACGCGTTAAAATTTTATTTGTGCCCTTTTTATAAATTAAAACAATCTTGAAATTATTTAAATTTTATATTAAACGATTTGCAAAAATATAAAATATAAAAAAATGTAATATATATGAAATGTGTGGACAAAGTAAAAGAAAGAATATGTACTTATTTTATTATAGTTCTTAAGTACAAATTTATATTACGTTACAGTCGCTACCAAAAACTGTATTCAACTAATAATTCAATTCACTTGATTATAGTTTTTAATAATTTGGTAACAATCATTTTTAAAAACAAAAATATTTACTGAAAATAGATATAATTAATTAAGTTTAAAGATACATTTAGCACTGCAGTCATACTGAACCACATATTTCCTATTAATTCTGTGAAACTACTCAGGAAAATCCATTGCAGGAGAAGTTAAAATATTAATTTAAGATGTTTTAGATTACGAAACGTCATTATGAATTACCGCGTACTTGTCATACACTAAGTGTTTGATAACAGTTTAGATTTGGATAATTTATTATTATTGGGGTTTTTGAGGAAAAAGTCACCTAAAAATAAAAAAGACGTAAATGCCAGTTTAGAAATTTCATCTGTAATATATCATTCGTTAAAAAATGAAATTCAAATACTGGCACTTTCCAAATTGAGCAACCAACTGTTTAAATAACTTCTTAAAGAAGAGGTTTATGTTTTCGCGAAATCAGCAGAAAAGTATAAAAAATTGTCCACGTTTTATCACACAATTTTCAATCGATGTTAGAAATTCTAAAACTGTTCTAAAGATATTGATTGGTTATCCCGTTGCTTAGTTTTTGTAAAAATCGTTTCTTTGTAATTGGATATTGAAAAAGAGGTTTTTGGTAATAGATTTTGTAGTCTCAAGAAACATACTTAAATGTTATATGCCTACGATAAGCGGTTAAATTATAAAAATTCATCAAACTTTAGAATTTGACGCTCGTTTATGCAAATCTACAAAAATATACACATAATAAAATATATTTTTAATCACAAAATGAATGGAATCCAGGAAAGTGTGTTAAACAGATTAATTTAATTCACACAATCACAGATATTATAACTATGTTTCATAGATATCAATTGAAAATCGTTTTCAATGAAAGCGAAATCTTTATATTTGGAATAACCAGTTGTACATTTTATCAATACAGCTAAATCTAATTCTTGTTGATAAAGTCGATTATTAGCATGTATCGGGAAGTTCACGCAGCTTGCCTAAATACAAAATTCTACTAACAACTAAGTTTAATAATGTTCCAATAATTTAAAAAATACAATAAAATAGTCAGTTAGATATTTTGACTGTTTTTTAATATTCAAATTTTTAATATTGTTTTTAAACAACTACAATCAAATCATTTTATTGATACAATAATTATGATTTGACAGTTAAGTAATCAATTATTTCATTATGTAAGTTTAATCTATTTATTAAGTGGCACTATTAAGTTTTAATCTATTTAGAGTACTCCAATTGCGTTCAAATGTATAACAAACCCCAACTAACATTGTAAGGCCGATTCACCCACGCCTATGGTTCATCCCCTGGGTCCTCCCCTTAGTTATTGAACATCTTCAAAAAACAAATTGTTTTTTATTATTGGATATACTGTTCGAAAAAAAAACAATCAATGTATTGAAAAAATCCAGGACTTATCTATTGAAAATATATATATATATATATATATATATATATATATATATATATATATATATATATATATATATATATATATATATATATATATATATATATATATATATATTGGAAATGGGAAACTCACTCCGGAGTTATCACTCCGATACAACTCCTCCCTCGGAGTGAATCCGAGTGGAGTTGTCCCACCGGATTTGTCATATTCGACTTCACTAAACTGGTCCCTGGGTCCTCCCCTTAGTTATTGAACATCTTCAAAAAACAAATTGTTTTTTATTATTGGATATACTGTTCGAAAAAAAAACAATCAATGTATTGAAAAAATCCAGGACTTATCTATTGAAAATATATATATATATATATATATATATATATATATAATTATATATATATATATATATATTATATATATACATATATATATATATATATATATATATATATATATATTGGAAATGGGAAACTCACTCCGGAGTTATCACTCCGATACAACTCCTCCCTCGGAGTGAATCCGAGTGGAGTTGTCTCACCGGATTTGTCATATTCGACTTCACTAAACTGGTACTAAATATGTTAACATGTGCCGTTGTGCAGATATTTGCTTAAGATTTTTTACTAATACATATATTTAAATAAATTAAAAATAAGTAAACATAAAGTAAAAATAAGTTTTTTTTTCTCGTCTCAAAAAATGCTATTTTGTATTCTACATTATGTATACGATAATGTTTGTCCATAAATAAGCTCTTTCAATAGTATACAACCATCAACCAGCTAAAAATATTTAGTATTGTATTATAACTTTTACACAATTATGATTTTATAATTTTGTAAAAGTAATAGCTAATCAAACTACCTAATGTATAATTAATTCTCGAAAGGGAAATAATAAAAGAATGTGAGGTATTATTATTTTGAGAAAAATATTATACACAAAGATTTGATCTTATTTCATATATAAGGTTCACTGCATTATTTTTATATAATAATAAACATATTCAAAGAATTCTATATTGTCTCTTCAAAGCTAATTCAAAAATTGATTTTGATTCCCAAGTTTTTTGTCAATTTGAGATTTTTATGCATATTGAAATGCATGAAATAGTAATTATTATAATAACATGAACCAAAATGTTTGAACTATTTGTAAAGTATTTCCAAAGTCTTAATAAATCCTTATATGTTAACAACGCACTAGAGAACACATTTGTGTCAAGTATTATGTTTCAAAGTTGTCGGAGTTGTGGAGTTATACTCTAATATATATATATATATATATATATATATATATATATATGTGTGTGTGTATATATATATATATATATATATATATATATATATATATCAATATATTTCTCGATTACTTTTTATACAAGAAACTCACATAACCAAATGACTTTTTGTTTACAATTAAAACATAATTATTTTAAAAATCAATTGAACTAGTATTATGTAAATTCAAGAGCGATGACCTGCAGTTATTTCTTTCGAAATTGAAGCGAGTCAACCAAATATACACATATGCAATGCATCAACAATTTAAATGCACATGTACATAAACAACGTCATTTATGTTATCAAATACCTGTGATCAAGTAAACGGCCTTGGTTACTATCAAGGTCTATAGGGATAGTATGTTCATATTGCTATATAAACGAATTTTTTTCATACAATATTCATAGTATATACATAGTTACAACAAGCAATACTAAGAACACAAAATGACGTTTCTATCAATTTTGTGTTCTGTGGCAGTAGCCTTTTCGGCAGTGACTGCAAGTCCCCAAGTTCTGTACCAAACTCCATACATTGCGAGCCCTTACCTCGCTACTCCTTACGTCGCAGGAGGACACTTGAGCACCCAGTACCACTCACAAGACGATTTTGGACAATATGCATACGGTTACAACAACGGTTTTGACTCAAAGACCGAACATCGCTCTCTAGACGGAGTAACCCGTGGATCCTACTCCTATGTCGACCCTGAAGGAAAACTCCAAAGCGTGCATTACACCGCCGACGCAGTTAACGGATTCCGTGTGGCTGCCACCAATTTGCCTGAGGACTCCGGCTCCGTCCCATCTGCAATTGAATATACACCAGAAGTTGCTCAAGCTAGAGCTGAACATTTAAAAGCTGTCGAGCAGGCCAAAGCAGGTTATGTAGCCCCAATTTCTGGAGATGTCCCAACTCAAGTGGAAGACACGCCTGAAGTTGTCGAGGCAAGATCTGCTCATTTGAAAGAGGTCGAAAAAGCTAGGATTGACACTCTCCTTGCTATACTTTACGGTAACATTACCAAGCCATATGAAAAATCTTATAATGGTCCCGCTTTACAATACGTACCTTCATATGTAACACCTTACGGAACATATGTTCGGGGATCCCCGCCACCCATTCCCAGCACACACTGGATTCTTGCTTTACAAAAACAATGACTTCCATTAAATCGAATATATGCTTTATAAATATTAACAATATTTTGAAAACTGTAAACTGTCTAATGTTTTTTCTTGCACATGTACCCTTTGTATAGTTTTTAAATAAATTCATTAATATTCCTATAAGTGAAGAAGTTTATTTTTGCCATATTAATATTATGTTTTCTCGTCAATCCGTTCATTGTAAATCGCTTGAAACCAAATTTGGAACTAAATGTAAGAGGTTTTTTGCCTTAAAAAAGTGGCATAAACTTTCCGATATGTATTAATAAGTAATATGAAGCATCGATATCAAGCATTTAAAATACATTTAAATTATACTTAGCAGATAAGTGCATATTTGATCATGTACATACTCAAAAAAATTTAGAATAATGAGCAATGTTTTTGTGGTGAGAGTCAAAATTATATACATCTTAAAAACGACTGATTGTGTAATCTTAAAATGAAACAAATAAATAAGATATTATCGAGTTTCTGATTGAAGTATATATATTTAAATGCCATTTATGGTTTAATGTCATTTATGGTTTGAAATTTTGTAAGTCAATATTTTTATAAATCAGCCATTTCATGGATTAAAAAGAAATCTGAATTTTTTTAGTATTGGATTCTTATCAAACTTCATTCGTCAAGATTCAACATTCATATTGAAAAAATGTTGTTGTTTTCCATGTGTTTTTTTATGTTCTATTATCTGCTTTTTGCTGTTTTTATTTATTTTAATAACACTGATTTTTAAATAAGCACGATTTCATGTATCAGATTTGTCTGCAAAAATTCTCAATCTTAAGAGACTGACTTAATAATTTGTAAAATAAATTAGAAACAAATGAAAAGGTACATGTATGAAGTGTATAAATAATCACATTCTTAGAAAATATATGTAAACGCTAATGAATGGAAGAAAAAGTTTGTAGTGAATATCAGTTAAGAAGAAATTGAGAGGCAAGTAAAATGATTTTCTACTTTTATTATTATTGAACAGCATTCAGAACTATTCTATTGTGTTATATGAGATTCAGAGTTGTGATATATTCCATGACAGCCCAGCATTATTAGAAGTCAATTAAATATATGCCCTTATTCAATATGAGGTTTTTGTTAAAGATATTTGATGGTAATGTGACACGTATCGCAGCAATGATCTGAAATGCTTTTCAAATAATATTTAGATTTTTATTTCAAACGAAGAGTAATATCACTAGTAGGGTATGTCAGATCAACTACTATTATTTATTCTACTAAATTTAAAATTTACTACACATAAAATTGAGCATTAAATAAATTCAGTCAAAAACTTGCTTTAAATCACACATTTAAATTTGTCAATAAATTTTTTTGTCATTACAGATTATTCGAGCAAAAATAAAATAAAAACCGTTTTTAAACTTACTCAATATAGGTTTTGGTAGTTTTTATGTAAGGATACTGACAATAAATAAATACTATTCAATTCAATTCAATGAATTCCTGTGAAGTCTCAATCTGTATATCAAAGTTATTGCAGCATTATCAATGTTAGTTTAGATTCTGAATATACAAAGTTATAACCCATGTCCAAACAATTATGTTACCATTTATTAACTCAAGTTTTCCGAGAATGGGTTATAAAATAATTTGCAGTGAATTATCCACTTTGATCCAGAATGGGACTAAAATTTCTATGTTGCACTATTATGTATGACGATCTAATGAAAAACGTGGTTTGGAAATTCATTTATTTATAAAAACGATTGTAAAAGATAATCGTCTTTCGTAAAAATTTGAAGTGCTTGATAAGAAATACTACTGATATTATATATAATTGCACATGCTCATTATTGCCATTGCTGCATTAAGTTTAATCCGCATTTTAAGTGATTTTTATAATGAAGTTTATCCTTATCATTTTCTGCTTAGCATTCACCTCTGCTTGGGGTAAGTGGAATTTTTTATAATAAAACACATTTTGAAAAAAGAATGTCTGAATTGAACGAATTATAAAATTTTATTATTAAAGATTTTAAAAATGTATACAATTGTGTATTTTACTGATGTTTAGACCAAGGTATAAAAAATGTATTCAATAATTTTGAAGGATTCAGAATCCCTAGTTACATATGGCCATGGGCTCGAGAAAAATAGAATAGTTGGAGGACAAACTACACAAATTAACGAAAGACCTTATCAAGTATCAGTTTTGCGATACAACCAGCATAACTGCGGAGGTGTTATTTAAATAAAGAATATATTCTTACTGCTGCCACACTGTTTTCAATGAGTAAGTGTATATTGAATATTTTTAAATCATATTTACATACAATGTCTAAAAGAATTCAGATCATTCAAATCATTGTAAATTATCCAGGCGCGTATTATATAACAAATAACTTCATATATATATTCAACTTAATTTGATTATTCTGACAAAATATTTTTTTTACATTTTTTTATTAATTTACTAATTATGTTGGTTATACATATCGTTTGTTTATTATTTTGTTGTTATTGTGTGTTTTTTTCAATTGTTTGTATGTATTGATTCTAAATATGGGTTGCAAAAACCTTGGATATATTTGCGAGAATTAACTAAAATATTAAATATACTATAATAAATTTACTAAGTGAATATACTAAATAATTTCGTATTCCTTTTACTTAAATAAAATTTTGTTATACCGATATTGCAATTTTCTGACATCTTAAATACTGGTTTCACACTACATATATGTTAAAAAGTCAAAGATCTAGTTTGTCTTTGAGCAATTATATTTTGTAAACCAATTCAATTATATCACAACAAATAACACATATCAATGTAACAACTATCTGACTAGGTTCGGTAAAACTGCCAGCTCCAATTCATCATTATACTGATGGCTTGTTAAATAAATAATAAATTGTCATGTGGTCTTTCTTACTCCGATAAAAATGGGACGGCCAAGAAACATACAGTTTCATGTCTTGTTAGTTTAATTTCAAGGGATTTACGAAAATAATAGGTATGTTATTCAAACAATGCAAATAGAAATTTCATGAATACATTTTCTACAGAAATAACACAGTATATACTTTGATCTGATATTTTGTTAGATCAGCAGAGTTAAAATAACTTTATTCCAATACTTCTTGTGAAATTGCTTTTTTAACTTAATTTACTTTTTTCACTATTTCTTATTTTTTTACATCTTTGCGTGGGTAAATGTTCAGTTGATCCTTTTTACTCCACCCCCGTGTAAGATTTTATAGAAGTGATATAAAAAACGGTTGAATCTAACGCAAAATAATAATACATCTTATATAACGTATACCTAAATGTGAATTTAGGTCTCATAAACTAAACAACAGTGTTCACAACCAAAAAACTAACAACGAAAAAATATTGTTGTTGTGAATTTTCAAACATTAACGTTTATCTCCTGATAGCAACGTCGAAATCAAGGTGTCTGTTATTAATCTTTTTACTCCTACTTTTACCCCTTCAAATACTGTACTTAAAAAATTCTTAACTTTACTCGTTTTTTGAGATATCGGTACTGGGACCTTTTTACTGCGAACTTTCAAGCCCTGCTCTGTCCTATATACAATTTTTCTAACTTTTTCAAATTGGCAGTTTTATTTAAAATAACTAATACAAAATATTTATATTTAAATAGATATTATATAAATGGTAATAAATTTGTTGGATAGCAGTAATGCTGTCGATAACAGCTTTAAAAAATATCTAAAATATTTTTTGTAATGCCGAAGTGTTACATCTGATATTGTTTATATACCAATCATTAGTATTCATTATCTTACTTGTTAATAATGCCAATCTAATAATACAATAAGGATTTAGAATATCGTGTTTAAATATAATTTAGCATTGACTTGAATATGTGTTGATTATTTTATTAATTTATTTATTGAATTGCGTACGCTTTTTAATATTCAAAATTAAATTACCGGATTATCTTATATAATTGTACCCAAAACAATTTTGAACTTTTCTCTATAAATGTTCCTATTAACATGTCAAGAAATTACACTGTATCTTGATAAAACATTTTTAACTTTCCGTAGGGTAAGTTATTGTAATCGTCCAAAAACCGAAATCGAAAATTTTTGCATTTTTCGACGTTTGAAGGTTTCTGAACATTTTGGCATATTTCAGATAAAATGATGTGTGTGTGTATGTATGTATGGATACAATTTTTCGTTACGTTTTCGGGCGCACGGATCAAACGATTCGAATGGTTTAAAAACATTCGATTCCTATCGATAGGGAGATATGCTGATTAGTTTTTGGCACAGGCATATCCAGCAGTTACGGGGATAAAGAGCAAATAGTGCAGAAAATAGAAATCGAGTTTTGGGAGAACAGAGCATCCGATTTGAATGATCTAAAAAAGCATTCAATTAGTAATGATTGGAAAAATGGTTTAAGTGTCTGGCAAGGCAGACCCAGCCATTTGAAGATACAGAGCTAAACGTGCAAAAACGTGCAAAACAGTTTTTGAGAGAACTAAGCGTCCGATTTAAATGATTCAAAGAACTTTCTGCTTGTTTTAACAAAATAATTGATTTTGGAAAAAAAATGGTTTCAAAAAATTTTTTTTTCATATTTTTTTTTTTTTTTTTTTTGTATATCGAAGATAATTCAGATTTTTATTTCAATTCTGTTCTAATATACTTTAAACAAATAATTTCAACTTTCCAATTCAGTTTATATAATTTTTATAAATATTAGACAATGTTACAATATTATAATAATCTATTTAAAACATTAATATTCCTTGATTATTTCGTTACGGTACGGAAGTTTCAGCAATTTGCCTTAAGGCACGATGCCATACACCATCTGTTCTTCTTTTTCTTGGGTTGCCTTTGGGTACAATAAAAGCAGTTTTGCTTCTTACAGATTTTAGGTCACATATGTTGCCTTTCAGTAATTTGTTTTGAATGAAAAAGTTGACAAGGAACACTCTTTATTTTATATTAAAAAAACAGACTTACTCTATTTTTTTTTATGC